GGCAGTTCCAACTTTGCAAGGACAGTCTGGCGCTTCTGACTCACAGCTTGTAAGTACGTTTTTTATATTTAAAGGATTTGCCACGGATGATTCAAATGAGAGTTTTGAGCAGTGTAGAGTAACCCTTTGTTGTTTGTCATTTCTCCGATCACAAATGCAGACATGGTTTTATGTTTACGCAGCGCGATGCAACGCAACACGTAAACAGACAGTATAAGTCATTATAATCAGTAATTATATCCCCATTGGATGCAACAAATGCCTCATTTATAATGGGTTTTAATGCTTTTGTCTTGTCGCTCCGGCCGCGACACGGCATCACAGTATGGTAGGGGTGTATCATTTCCGTCACACGCTTGAGGTATTCGGCCAATCACAACGAACTGGATAGCTGGCCAATCTCAGCACACCTCGCTTTTCAGACCGATGAGCTTTGTAAAAATCGACGCGTTTCAGAAAGGCGGGGCATAGAGGAGAAACAATAATGTACAGTATGTGGAAAATAATGTGTTTTTTTAACCTTAAACCGCATAAACACATTTCATTACACCAAATAATGGTCTTTTTAGCAACATCATATGACCCCTTTAAATACCTTTCTTTAGTCAGGAAGCTTGGTGTTTCATATTTGAACCAAGGTTATTATAGTTTTGCATTTTTTAATTCTTTTTATTTTAATATAGTTTTCAAATTTGCAATAAAATTTTGTTTCGTTTTTATTAGTTTCATTAATAATTTTGTTAGTTTTAGTTTAGTTTTTATTTTGTGAACAAAATAAACTATTTCTAGAATTAGAAAACTATTTCATTTTTATATAGTTTAGTTTCAGTTTAAGTAATTGAAGTTTAGCAGAATTAACAGATCACTTCCAGTGCGCAGACCAAAGAAAGACTTAATTTAACCTTATTGACGCAAACGTCTATAGCGACACAAAATTAAAGCATGCTGAGATTGATTAGATGGTTCAAGTATACACATATATGCCAAAATGAAGCAGTCATGCCTTACATTATCATATTTAAAAGCACTAGACTGAGTGATAAATAGTGCCGTGTTCGATACATCGATACGACGATGTATCGTCACAGAGATTTGACGTTACGAGTATCGATACAGCTGGCCCTGTATCAATATTGTGGCACGTGTGCAGCAGTGGACCGCGCTTAATTTGAATACAAGAACAACGTTTAAAATTGAGTGAAAAATTGCGACGTTTCTAAAAAATAATGAATACAGCATAATATATAGGCTATAACAAGGTTTAATCTGGCCGCAGAGGAAAGCAACCGGGGTTGCCTGAAATAAAGAGACGTAATCCCCGAAACAGAGCTTTGCACTTGCGCAATACGGAAATATCTGCTAAATGTGCTACTTATCTTTGTCAACCTGGCAACCATGTGTACACACTCTCTCTCCACTGTTTAAACGCGCTTGCTTTCTGAAAACACCGGTTAGCTTGCAGTTTAGCGATCTCCACTTCAATACTCTATTCTCAGAAAAGTGGAATTCATCAAGTGTTCATTTATGAGAGAGAGAGGGGGGGCTGTGTATGTATGAATTACCACCGTTTTGCCGCGGTTCTCTATTAACAGTGAAGCTGTGGCTTTAATTCCTCTAGAAACAGCGATGTTACCAGCTCCTTGTTGAGAATGATAATGTAGCTCTTGAGCGATTAAGCTATTTAGTTGATAAAATTGCGGGGCAGCGCTAAAAAGTTTGTTCCTGAATGTCTGAGTGCGGCCGCAACGTGATCTGTGTGAGTGACTGAGCGTGTGTGTGCATCTTCTGATTCTGATTCTGATTAGATACAGTAGACAGCGCATTAGTTTAGAACTCTTCTAATTATTATTATTTATTTTTTTTAAACGTAGAGAGTGCGTTAATTTGTGCAATGATAACCTACCGGCAATGTAAATATGATTTTAATCTATTGCTTTTGCCACTCAGAAATGTTCACGCAATCATGTTGTACACATATCAGAAGATCTACGCTCCGCTCACACTACATGCGAACCGCACTCTGGCCCACCAGCGCCTGAAAATAGGCTAACTTCTGTCAACATAACCAACATGACCACCTGCTTGCACAGGAAGCGTGCTGGGGACTATTTTCAGGCGCTGCGTAATATCATTGCGCCTGCTGCACCCATGGTACGGCAGCCAAGTACCTTGATTATTACGCTGGAATGAGAGTATAGTTCCTAGCCATATCGGCCTAGAAAATCGCAACTTTTCATTTTCCGTCGGTCTTAGTACACGATGTAACTACAGAAGAGTCAAGTTTTAAATAGGAAAAATATAGAAACTCTTTGGTCATTTTTGAGCGAGATGCTAACGGTCTAATCAGATTCAATGATCTATTGTATCGTGATACGTATCGTATTGTGACTTTGCTGGTGATACAGTCCTAGTGATAAATGTGTGTTGTGATATTTAATTTGAAAATAAATGTAATTTGTAGGGCCGGGCAAGTTAACGTGCTAAGTTTCCGATAGCACGTGAAGACAGCAGAGAAGCGCTCTCGCTCATCACAGTGGAGTGCATCGTTTTGTGAACTTTGAGATTTATTATTTTGAGTCGTTTGGGACGCGGTAACACACGGCCCTCTCACAATATATTGCTTTACAAATCTATTGCTTTTGCCACTCAGAAATGTTCACGCAATCATGTTGTACACATATCAGAAGATCTACGCTCCGCTCACACTACATGCGAACCGCACTCTGGCCCACCAGCGCGGCGCTGCGTGCGCCTGCTGCACCCATGGTACGGCAGCAAAGTTCCTTGATTATTACGCTAGAATGAGAGGAATGAGAGTAGCCATATCGGCCTTACGTCGGTCTTAGTACACGATGTAACTATAGAAGAGTCAAGTTTTAAATAGCAAAAATATCGAAACTCTTTGGTCATTTTTGAGCGAGATGCTAACAGTCTAATCAGATTC